AAAGTTTGTAACGAGAAAGAATAAACTAGTTTTAATTAAGAAAAGACTTGTATCTCTGAGGTTTCTCGGAAATAATTTTTACCAGAAATTAACAAACGACCAGAGACGTACCAACAATGATAGATTAAGTAAGGGATGATATCATATTACATAATAAACACAATCTAAATATCTTTTGAACCCAACAGATGAGGGCCACATTGCAATAATATTGAAGTTTTTCAACATAGATAAAATATTTTTAAAAATTTAGTGAAAACTTTATAAGCATTGTTTATGAAAAGTTGTATCTTCGTGCATTTGCCTTTCACTGTCAAATTCTTACAGGAGATGACCAAATATATACAAAAGATGTTGTTTTCGTGAAATACGAGAAAAGGGATAAACATTTTTTGTAGATACATTGTTACTATAATATAATTTATTTTTAGAAAATGTGTTAATAAAACAGTTATTTAGATTTAAATCTCAGAATAATATTATTCAGCCTTTGCCATCATATGACGAGCATTCAGCCAGTTAATTATAATACAGTTACTATGGTAATGTTCAGAGTACATCCACCTGTCAAGGCAAACTTCATAACTGTATAGTTTCTGAAAAATACTTTATTTTTATCCCGAATTTTTATGATTGTTCTTAATCAATTTAATGCCTAACCGGGTAACACTAAAGGCTAAAGTAGATCAGTGACTTTGGTGGAGATCGAAAGTTTCCAATATTATGTACTTGTAAAATTATTAAATTAATAAATGCTTAGACTAGCGGAATGTAATTTGTTTATTGGTAAGTTGTGTATGTTATATCATAATAGCTGTAATAATAACGTTACTCAATTTCTTCACTAGTTTTATAATGAGTTTCTTGTAAGAAAAGTGTTGGCCAAGTGGTTAGAGCGCTTGACTCACAATCTTAGGGTTCGAATGCCCGTCCCACAAAACATACTCACCCTTTCAGTCTTGGGGAGCGTTATAATATGACGGTCAATCCCACTATTCGTTGGTAAAATAGTAGCCCAAGAATTGGCGGTGGGTGGTGATGACTAGCTGCCTTCTCTCTAGTCTTACACTGCTACGGTAGGGACGGCTGGCGCAGATAGCCCTCGTGTGGCTTTACGCGAAATTCAAAACAAACAAGCTAGCGCAGATAGCCCTCGTGCAGCTTTGCGCAAAATTCAACACACAACAAACAAACCAATTAAAAGTGTGCTAATATTATAAATTATAACATTTCAACATAACTGCGTGTTGAACTAAGCCGTCTATAACGTCTTATGCTTAAATATTAATTAATAATATTATGTCTTCCGGTTTTAACATACTGTTACGACAATGCAGGTCACGTGACGCTTGTATCACGTCACTTCCTTCTCGAACCTTCATGAAATGTC